CCAGGCTCCTATCAGTACATCAGGTGATGCAAATCATCTACAGCTTCCACCTCAAAATAGAGATGTTAAGTTTCTAAAGAGCCATAGAATGATGTAAAAATCTATACTGGAAGTCAGGCTTGCCTTTTTAAAGTTTTGTTTGCACCGTGCTTATACTTTTAAATGGAAAAAGAAAAGGTGGAGGAGGTCAGATGGGCCGGGAAAAAGTTGGAGGAGAACTTGTGCCTCCTCTTCTGTGTGACTCCTCATGTGCTGCATCTCTTGCCACAAGCTCACAGGGGCAGGGTGAAAGCTGGGAGATGGCTGAAAGGCACAGAGAGATTTGCACATGGATCATCCCTGCCTCTAATCCTGGCCTTTTGCTCCTCCTTCCCAGTCCATGTGGCAATTACAGCTCTGGTGTTTGGTACAGGCTCTTCCCTGGCCAAGGTCCACCTCAACACCCAGAACACCTCAAAGTCCCTGATTAAAGAGCTGCTACAGCTATTCCTCCTCCTCAACTCACTCATTTTTAAGCAAAGCTGTCCTCAAACAGCTCCTTAAAAACGGAGATATTTTCTTTATAATTGGCTCATCAAAAGCTCAATTCTTGTTGTCCAGATCGTTCATTCTTTGAACTTGTGCTTCAGTGAGATTTTTGATAGGCAATTTATCTAAAACACCCTGAAATATCCTTAACCATTTCAGAACGATGATAAGGCTGACAGCATGGAGGATTCACCATAAACAGTGGATTTGTCATGTCCTTTGTTTGCTACTGCTTTGAGGCTTTATTGGAAACATGCTCAATGACAGGAGATTCTGAGGTTATTCACTACCCATGGCCTCCAAAAGGGATCCTGTCACTGAAACAATAAAGCTAAATAGATTCAGAAAAGAAATAAATTTTAAAAAGGGGGAAAAAAATCTATTTTTTTACAGAGCTACTTCATTATGCATTGCCCACCAGGGTACATTCTCCCTTAACAGTAGCCAGCTCTAAAGACCAAAAAAATAGAATCATGTGAGAGATACTGCAATGAACTCAGGTAAATCAGTTTTGTGCCTCTCTGTCTCTTGGAATAGACTTAACACAGAATGATAGGAAACATTCAGGTATGGGTGAAGGGAAAAATAAGAATATTGATGCCTGCAAAAAGAGACTTGGAAGTGGCAGAGACATTATAAACAGGATTTTAATATGATGTGAATTACAAGCACTTGATACAGAGGGGATGATATATTGATTTTTCTCATTCTGAACTATGCATGTCACTAAGATCAATGGCAGTCACAAACCTATATCAAGGAAATTATAATATGTGGAATTATTTATAGAATGGCTGCTTCAGGTACACATCAACTGCAGCATCATAATGGCCAGACTTATGACTGAGGACAAAGCCATCTATTACATATTGTAAATGATAAAGTGTGCATTCCCATCATTGCTTCATTTACCACATTTTTCATAAGTGAAAGAAAGAACTAATAAAAGGATTCTTGTACAGCCTTTTTTTATAAAGAAGCAACAAACATTGTATAGTTTATCACTAAAAGACAACAATTCCACTTACAAACTAAGTCTTTAAAAAAACAGCTACAGGCAGCATTTTCCAAAACAGAATTATGCAATGTACACCAAAGCAAATATGCTGAAACTTTGGGAATCACTTCTGGATTGCTCAAAATCCTGGGGACCCTGAAGAAGCTGAAAAGCAGCAGCACACAGGAGTCCAGCATCTCCAAGGTTCTGGTGGCAAGAAAGCATGAACCTGTAAACACATGCTTCCCTTTTCCAACAGCAAAAGCTGTGTCACCGCTGGCAGACAAAGAAAAAGTCTAATAGCTACACAGGCACCTTTATAATTTTCATATCTCAAAATTATGGCATTTCCAATAAAGTCTGCTTTTGAATCACCATTTACTTCCACAGCTCACTTAGTTTCACAGTAGTCTCTACCTCCTACTGTTAACTCTTAAAAGAAGCCTTTCAAAGGTCAATCCAAACTGTTAGGATTCTAAATGGTAAAATTGAATTTTTCATGTCTACTTGTTCTTTTGAAAGGCTTAAAAGCAATTTGTGGCAATCAGCACAAAGGGATTTGATTGACAAAGTTTAACAAAGTGATCTAGAGAAAATTCATTGGGGAAAAAACTGCTGAAATTGCAAATTAAATGGCAAATAGTTTTTTCTGTCTGCCCTTGAAAGAAAATAGGTTCTCTTCTTAGATGTGAAAATCATGCTAAAAGCTTCTAAAAGTACCTAATGAAAATTTTAGAAATGCACAGCATTATCTTTCAGATATGCACAAGTAATCAAATAAAAAAGCAACTACAAAAGGACAAGTGCAACAACGGCTACCAAACAAGTCTGTTGACCTCATTCACACAAACCTCAAAAACACAGCTGCCAAACTTCCCTCAAGTGAAATACAGGACATTTAGCTAAAACACCTGTGGAAATCAAGAGCTGTTCTCCTCTCCTTTGCCTATCTGCTCTTTCCTTCCCAATCTGCTGTCTCAGAAGGCCTTTGTACGTGATGCTCCTTTCTCCATCTGCGGACAGGAGAGGTGCCCAGCGGGAGGATCCCTGCCAGCCCGCCCAGCCAGCAGCGCTGTGTCCCTCCTAACACTGCTCCAGAGGCACTCCAGCCCAGGGCAGTGAGCAGCATCCCTGCTGTATCAATGTGTATCTGCATAACCCTGCTTTGGAAAACAGCAGCAAAGATCCAACCCACCCACCACCATCTAGGGACACATCTTCAACTGCCAGGCCAACTCTGAACGGGAGCGCTGTGGGGCGAAGGGCGACGCTCCCATTTGACATTTTTACTCTTCTGTTAGGAATTTTTGGGCTTTCACTGACCAACTCATGAGGGAAAAAGACTATTTGGGAAGGGAAAAAGAGGAATTTGGCTGGGTTTTTTTTAAATTTTATTTTTAAACCTCTAGTTATGTGAAGAGTGTTATGCTGATAGCAACCAGCATAGTTAGAAGATTTATTTCTTTATTATCCTTTATTATTTTGTATGCTACTGCCACTATTGCAAAGCCTTTGCTTCAATCCTCAGACAATCCTATCACCCAAGTCAAAGTCATTGTTTCCTAGGTAACTCATTTTTCACCTACTTTAGCTCAATTCTGAAATTCATATACAGGGTAAAGCAGGATAAAGCTTTTGTCTGTTTGAAACTACAGCATAACTGATAGATTTTACATTTTTGTAATGGTGCTTCAACCTCATACCCATTTGCTTGTTTAATTTTTAAGTATTATTCTGATTTTTTGCCTTTACAACATTCTTCTGTGACTTCAAATTACTGTTGCCTGCAAATATAACTAATGTGTTAATCTTCTCAACTTTCAAATCGGTCACATGACATAAACCCACTCAGAATCATTTACATTTTGATCTACAAAAACCTACTAGATTTTTTTACTAACAAGTTCAGGTTTTTTAAAATATATTTATGTCTGTGAAAATTTTCCAACCTACTACTCTACTCAAAGCTATTCTAACATTATGGTGATTTTAGGTAATTAATTAGTTTTCCTGGGTCTGGTAACTTACTGTAGCTTACATAATTGGTATTTATTGGAGACATACCAAAAAAAAAAAAAAAAAGCATTTGAAATGCCAACAAACAAAATTTAACACAGAAAACTCAGAATTCATTAATGATAAAATATGTAGTTATGAAAGACTGCACAAGACTCATTCACTCACTGAATCACTACAGAGACTGGGGGATTTATGCAAGGTACAATACATCCAAAACAATACAGCTCAGTTCAACACACCACATCTCACTGCATCAGTAGCACCTTGTGAACTAAACCTACAACTAAGCCATCTCAGCTCATTTACTCTTTATAAAATTACCTTTTTTCTTTAGAACAGCTATCTCTGCCAAAGGACAAAGGGTTTATGTGGGTAAATCTACAGTATTAATCTACACATTAAGCACCTATTCTGGCAATAATAAATATGAAGGTCCAGAATTAGCCATTACAGGCCATAAACATGATTGTTTACTTTTAGGATCTTTATAAATCCATCATACAAACCATTTGTGTTTCACAAAAGTCCAAGATACGATTCAGTTACTTCTTTGCAGGCTGACCAAAATATTTTCTATTGGTTTTGCAGTGACCTTTGTTATGTGTTATTCTAGTGTCAGGGATACACATTTTAAAACTCCTACTGACAATATGATTAGAACTGTTATTATATGATTAAAACTATATGATTAAGCTCATTAAAACCAATGAGGAAAGTTTCTTTAGGTAATCTAGCATCTGGATTAATTTTATGATTGACACTTTTTTGCTCAAGAAGGTTTTTTATTCATCAGATACTCAGGTAATGAAAAATCTTTACATCTTTTAATTACACACTCCTGATGACATCAGCCTCAATTTCTGCATAGTTGCAATTTAGAATCAAAAATGTTTTAATTAACTTCTTCTAAAGCACAGTAAAGATTTTATCAGATATTAGTGTCAAACACCACCAGTCCAAACCGAGGGGATGTTTCTTTTCAATAACATAGACTAGTAAGAATTGCTGTCTGTAACAAATGTTTCTTTTGCTTTCTCAGTATTTGTGTAGATGTCGAACAAATAATTTAATGGCTGTGCAAATGGTTTTTAAAATACCCTCAAAACTGAAATATAGCTTTTTTTAAAAGCAACTGCTGTTCAGACTACTGCTCAGATTCTACAGTTGGTGAGCCGACCCTTGCAAGATTTCACATATGTATGTATGTATGTATGTATGTATGTATGTATGTATGTATGTATGTATGTATGTATCTATCTATCTATCTATCTATCTATCTCCCAAACTGTTAATGACAGATAAAACACACGGCTGCAAAGAGCCTGCACTGAGGTGACTCAGCAGCATTTAGGCTGCTGCTCAGGCAGGCTCGGGCTCTGCTGGGCATTTAGAACCAGCCTTAGACCCTTTGTGCTGGCAGTCCTGGCCTAGCTCCAATGCAGGGAGCCCCACCTACCTCCTCATGCAATCCAGCGCCCGAATGAAGAAGTCTTTGTGCAGCTGGTGCTCGTCCCTCAGGATGGAGCACTGCTCCAGCGTCACTGACATGGATGTCCTGTCTTTGGCACTCTTGCAGCAGGTGAAGCGCACTCCGTTCAGCTTCCGGCAAATCTGAAACGCGGGCAGGCCCCACAGGTTAGCCCTTGTAACCAGGCGGGCTGTGCAGCCCCTACAGCTCTGCAAGCCCAGAGAGGGCATCCTGACAGCTACAGCATCTCTCAAGAGGAAAGCACCTATTAGTGTTAGTACCAGTACACTGAATTCCTGAATTTGACATGGGACTTTTGTAACTATAAAAAAATTTTTTTGTAACTATAAAAGAAACAGTCCCTTCACTGTTTCCTCACTTAATCTAGCAACTACCCTGTTCAATGAAAGCTAAATTGTCTGAATACCTAATGAATAAAGCTATGATAAGTCTTAACTCACAAACATGAATGTAGCAGACTACTTGTGAAGGTATGGAGTCAGATAAATCTAACTTACATAGTTTTTATTTTCAACAGGTAAAGTGTTCAATGTATGGCTCATAATTAATACAGTTTAACACAAATGACTGCCATGGATTGTCTTTCCTTTCACTTATACTTTGAAAAAGTTACAACACATAAAGGAAACACGACATTTTGGAGGATGATTTCTCCCCTTAGGAATCAATCTGTGGTTTTACCATTCCATTAGTTTATACTATGGTTTCAAACAATATTTTACTAGAAAAAGAAAAATTGGAGGAGAGCTTCTGTGCCCAAATGTGGGTCCACCTTTCCCCAGATATAACTTGTCCTGAGAAAAGGTAATACTTTGCTTACACCTATCCCTGGAGAATCATAGGCGTAACAGTATGAAACCTCAAAATGTTTGTGAGAATAGGGCAAGGCAATAAACTACGGAAGTAATCACAAAAAGGAAATTCCCACATCGGCTGTCATGGGAGAGCTCACAGGATGAACTGGAACATGATCAGTGTCAGCTCAGCAAATAAGTGTTTCTTCATCTCCCAATTGCATTCTCAGAAATTCTATTAAAAATCAATAAGTAATACTAAATTCTATTAAAATCAGAAATACTTAGACCCTTTAATTTTTTTGTGATACCATGGTGAGGGCAATCTCAAAAGTTTAATTTAGGGAATCAATTAAGGGAATCTTAGAATCCAAAGAGGTACAGGATAGTGAAGGAGAACCTATGAGTGTTTCTGCCATCATATAATTTAAAAATTTAAAAGTTAAATCTGTTTAAAAATTTGAACAGTTGCACTGGGATTTAAAACAAGTACTATATGATAATTTTCTTAAATAATTATGTAAAAGAAGTTAACTGTTTCATTGAAGAGATTAATTCTCTTTGCACTAGTATCTTTGGAAGTCCACGATTCATGGGGGCTATTCAATGTGAATGAGTCCTAAAAAAAAAATAAAATATTAAAAAATCATTTATAAAATAAAGTAAAAAAATCCCAGGTAATTATTCTGGATAAGTGATGGGCTCTGATGCAGGGAGACATAGGAGGAGAGGAAATACACAACTTGTATTAAATTTATTCTTACGGTCCAATTATATCAGTGATTACATGCAGGTACAGATACATATGTGGAATCTTGTACCTCTACTGCAATAAAAAAGTGATATTGCACAGCTACTGCACTGACAAAGTTTTATTCTTACATCTTTTTCAATAAATAAATGGAATATAGAATAACAGTGTGTAGATCACTGGAACCAGAAATACACATTTCAGAAAGGTAAAGTAAGGGAACCTAAAGAGAAATAGAATTCAGTGAATGAAAAACCTGAAACACTTTGTATGTCCAAAGAATGCTTTTCACCCATGAAATTATTTTCAGGGAACCCTGAATAGATGATAAAATACAACTTCCTATACCCAAAGTTTTAACACATTCTTTTGTAAACAATTTTATACTGTATCTTTTACTTTTCTAAAAGCAGTGTTTCATAGTAATTGCAAGACTGGTACTGCAAGAAAAACTTATATTTTTCCTTACAAAGGAATTATACTGCAATAGCATGTGATAATATTTATTAACAACATGGCAAAATGTTATTAGTAATATGAAAGTTACAGCACTGTTATTAATACAAAGATACAAAGTTAATATTTTCTTTTCCTTGGTGTTAATAAAAAGTCATGAAGAATGTTATAAATAATTTTGTATCAAATATTTATTTGCCTTGAAGGGTATATACATTTGAAAGTCTCCCAAAACACAAAGCCTTGCTTCACTTTCAGTAGATACCAAAAACACTCTGCTGGTATAAGGGGGCAGAGATACCAAGGCCACTACGTGGCTGAATTTCACATTCCTGAAAAGCTTGAGCTCTTTATAAACATCTAGGAGTTGTTTTCCTGGCCTTTTTTTTTTTTTTTAGTATGTATGTGCAAACCCCACAGAACTGGGAAACAGAAAGGAATTATGGGGAAAAAGTAAAGTAAGTATTAATCACTGTTAGATAAACAATTTTCTTTGTGTTCTCCCTGTGTCTGATTGTCCATCCTTTGCACGTCTTTTGTGATAGTTACTTGTGAAATTAGTTCAATTCAATCATGTCCCACATCATACCTCAAGGACACTAAAAAATATTTTGAGTAATTTTGTATTATCAAAGAATGGATATGAAACAAATCGCTCAAATTCTAGCAGGTTCTACCAGTTTAAAAAGTGAGAAAAAGAAATTGTCTGCAATTTAGGTGCAGGAAATAGAGATAAATTTATGAGTGGAATGAGTGATTATGAGAATGAGTACATTAAAAACTATTACAGCACATCTGCCTCCTTTAACCAGGGAGTTTTCCAGTCATATCCTTAAAATCCATTGCACTTACAATGTCAGCAAGCTTATGAAAATGAGTTTATGATTAGTTCATCAATTTCTTTGAAACAAGAGAGCTTACCGTTGCAGCCAGCCACATGATTTCTACATTCTTTCTCTTTTTGGCCTGGATATTTTGATGAAGACTTTCTAGCAATCCCTTTAAATCATTTTGTTCTTGAAAATGTGGTAAACCTGGGAAAAAAGGATAATAAAGTTGCTCATTTTGATAAGGTTGGTGATATGATTGTCCCGACTAAAGAATGCTCATGGTAACGAACAGGTCTATTATTTAACAGCCTTGTTTGGGAACACAGGATGGAAATTACCAGCTAAATATTTAAGGAATAAGCAAACCTTATGTCTTTCTGAGTATTGCTTTGTCCTCCCTAAGATCTTCATGTGGAAATTTAAAGTATCTTCAACCTTTACCTTATAAATGGATGGTGAAAAACAAAATCAAATCTCTGCTGTAGTTCTGTTCATCAGCTATTACAGACATTCAAAAGAAATCAGAAAAATAAAAAAAACCCTGAGTGTATTACAACCTGCTTTAATGGGATGATTTTTTTTTTTATTTTAAAGTCAAAAATTTTTGTTTTGTTTTCAAATTGAAACATTTAATTATTGTTTTAAAATGTGCCTTAGATTTTTATATAACGTAACATAAGTGTTAAACAGCACTTTGTATCCCCTCTAAAAAGTAACAAAGTATATTTCTCCTGAAATTAAGTGGGGCTTTATTTTGAAGTAGAAAATAATTTTAAGTTTGCTTAAAATCCAAAAATTTACCTGCTTGTTCTGGTTATGGCATTTAAGCCTAAGTTTAATTTATCCTACATCTCTAGCAAAAATTCAAGAGTAGGCAATTTAATTTCCCCCTCTGTTTCATATGTATATAGAGGAGGGATTTTTCTAATGTTGCATTTATCTCCGCTAGTTCTGAAAATCAATAAAATCAAGCGGAATCTGTTTTTTGAAATTATTTCTTCTCGTGCTGGCAAAGTAAAAAGAATTTTAATCACAGTTCTCACCAAATAAAGGGGTCAGAATCAAGTGAAACAAAGTGAAACTAAATTGATCAATGGATACAGTTTTTTCAAACAGAGAAAGTAAATTATCCATCCAGTGAGGGGAAAAAACCCCACAACCCAAGCCCCAAATCCAAGCCCAAAGACTTATACTCAATTGAAAGAATAAAAATGAGGGAAGTATTAATGAAGGTCAATATCCATTCTCCTAACGTGATCCAAGCTGGAATGAGCCCTCTTATCAACAGGCTTTTACCTTTTACATCTAATAAATTCTGTAGTTTTCCCTTATCCATGATTCATAGTAAGAAGTACTTTAAATATATTCAAAAAGAACTAAGTTGCTTCACTCATACTGTGCTGTCTAAAAAAACCTCACAAACAAACAATAAAAAAAGGGAGGAAAATGTACATCCAGAATCTGTTTTGCAATCATTTTAATTTGGATTGTTTTAACTCTGTATTACAAGTTCTGATTGTACACTAGATAATGTAGAGCACATAAAAACACATCACGCTCTGCTAGACTATTACACTTATGGGTGCATCTGTTTCTTTAAAACAGAGAGCACAAAATTACAAAGATGCTTGGGGATTATGCAAATGTATCACTAAACATTTTATTGCTTCCAGGCAGCTTTCCTTTGGTTCACAGCAGAAAACGCAACATCTCAGAGGGATGACTTCACCACAGTACAGCAAGAGTCTCCTAATTTACAGTACTGCCAGATGAGTTGCACCTTGACTGGAAATGATCAATTGCTTAAACTCCTTGGGTCCCCCACAGTACTAAACCACCAAATTGGGTTTATAGATTCTAAGGGGGAGGAGCCTGGAAATACCAAACAGCCTTGTTGTTTTCAGTTAATTATGTACTACTAAACAACTATCTTACATTTCTGGACCCTTACTCTCTTAGCATTTCTATAAAAGCAGTACCATTTTGGTGCTTCAATCAGAGCTATATTTGGTCAGCATTTTTGGTAGGAATCTTGCTGGAAACATGCTCTTATTTTCAGTTTCTGCTAAAAGAATTTAAGAGGCTAAGAAATGGGTAAATGACGAAGTGTATGTTCATCTTAAAGAAGACATAAAGTCAGTGGATGCTTAGTTACAAGCAAGACTATTATTGGCAAGGAGAAATACAGACATGAGGAAAACTAACAGCAAAGGTGGCAATACCTTTCAGGGAGTGGAAAATTGAATTCTTTGAAAGGGAATATATGAAGGAAGCAGCAGGCCAGGGAGGCTGCCAAGGGTGGGTGCAACAGCCTGGCAAATAGGGCTGCGAGTCCTCAAATTCTGTTGGGCTTTTTGAGCCCTGTTTGGAACTGACAGCCTTGGGAACACAGTCCTGCATTTGTTTTGTAGCACAGATTTGGCATTATAGGAAATCATCTGGATAGGTGGGACAAAACCATCAAAAAGCCATCAATATTGAATGCCTCTCACTTGGCCCCAGCACCAGCGTTGCTTCCAGCCTTGTATGGAGGTTTGTCCTCCAGAGGTGGGGGAACATGAGTGGGATTAAAGTCCTCCCACAAATGAACAAGTTTGAGAGCTTCACTTTTTTCCCAGGGGGCTGGTTTAAAAGGCACATTTCTCCAAGGCAAAAGAGTGACTCTGTATACTGGCAGGGAGCTACTGGGAAGGGCAGTGGAACCAAAAGGTGCTCTGTGTTCCATAAAAAATTGTATAAAGAAGAGACTCAGTTCTTTCTTCTCAGAGAAAAAAGCAAGAAAGTTATAATAACCAGAAAATACATGATGAACTAGACACAACTAGTTCTCAAAAGCCTTCACAGTCTGAAAGAAGTCCAGGAACTGTGTGGCTCACTAATAATCCTTCAGGAAGGCAGTACTAGTTTAAATTCTGTTAATGAAAAGTAGCCAATACTGTCTGCATGCAAATTTTTGCTTTTATAAAATAAAATCCATTTATGAGGTAGCAGATCTACCTTAGTCCTAACCTGGATGAGGTTAGTTTTTTGAGGATGTTTTCTTAGCAAGATTCCCCTAAATTAATCACCCAAGTTATTGTATGAGTTTCTCTGTAGACATCCTGGAAATAAATACCAGGTCTGTGGGTGGATGGATGGGCATCCTGCCTACCATTCAGGAAGAGCTTTTGTTTCTGTCAAAATTATTAACAAGTTAAAATCATCCTGATATAAGAGATACACATGCATTCATACGCATGTGTATCAAAGCTTTACATAGCATTTAAAAATCAGGCTGTTAAATCTCCAACATTTGGGACTATGGTTTGGGCATTAAAACTAACAGGATTTGATTGATGCAGAAGTTTTTTTTCAGTCCTTGCTCTTGGCAATAAGAGTAACAGCATAGTAATGTTTATGTTTATAATACACAATTTCTATAGGAGTGGAATACAGGGCCTATTCAAATGAAACCTTGTTATTCATATAATGATCATAATGATGATGTGGCTCATTGCTTGTATTTGGATCTACAGATTTCTCAATGGTTCACCAAACCTCAACACATTTTCAGAATAAGAACAGAGGGTATGACTGAAGCTGATGAAATTTCCCACCAAGTATTTATGTAAAAATACAGTAGGTACAGACTGTCCTCTACATGAAACATCAAGAAACTTATTATTTTAATAACTTAAAATAGCTGTTCAGTTCATTATTCCTCTGTTCCATTTTCTCTGTAGTTTCTGCTGTGGCACAGGGGCTGAGATCAGCAGGGTCATGTACAGACACAAAATGTTTAAATTTATGGAACAAGTTATGGAACTCTGCTAATATTACTGTCTTATAACCATTTAGCCATTCAAAGCTTTTCAAAGCCATCTGGACATTGCATTATTTTGTACTCACAATCAGGAGGCATTTTTTCTGTAAATAACTTGTAATACTCTTTGAGAAGTTCTAAGTTTTCCTGGTTAATGTTTTCCTGCAAAGTGGTATCTCCAAACCTATGAAAATACACAATATTGAATTATGAAAAAAACCCAAAATCCACAAACAAAAGAAAAAAAGATAAATTATCCTTCATAATTATTTCTTTGTATAAGGAAATAACTTTGGTGCTAAATGCATTAGATTTTGTCAAACATGCAGTAGTAAAGTTCTTGTATGCTTTGGAATTAATTTTTGGCAACGAGATCATCACTGATGCATACTTCTTCCAAAAGTTTATCAACAAAGCAATCTATTTACAAACATGCAATAAGGCACTTATTTTTTTCCCCTCACAAATCTTGACTAAATGGAAAGGCACTTTGGTGGAATTCCAAACGGTACCACAGGCAGAGAACACCCACTCCTCCATCTCTTAGTGCTGCTATTGCTTAAGCATATTAATTTCTGTAAGAGCTGGCCAATATGGAAGTGACACAAGATGGAATAGAAGCTTATCTACAAACTAACTATAGCTATAAAAACAAATATCCTTCTCTTTGAGATCAAGATTTCTACAACAGCCACATTTCACATGCCAAGAAACTAAATCTCACAGTACTACAGGAGACAGGATTGTAAAGACAAGAATGTCCCCATGACAGTTAGGGCCAAGTGTTTGAAATTCATCCTTAGAACAGATTTGAAATGGGAATGGAGGAGTACAGGAAGAGAGGCATGGGCAGCTAAGTGAGAAACTCAGAGAGAAGGGGACACAGATCAGAAGACACCAAATATGCTGCTAAATTGTGTACAAGGGAAGCAAATATTTCAATAGGCCACAGGGAAAAGATGTGACTACTTCCTCAGTAGCCATTGCTGCACTGTCACATGAGAACATTTCTTTTAAACCAGAAATATTCTCAAGTGTATTTTATCAAAAAACAAATAAAAAGATGTTTTTTTCTAATAGAGTAACATTTCCTAGAAATGTGCCACAAAAATGTTTTTATAGTCTCAGGTTCTTTATCCCACACACCCCTCCATATTTTTAGCCATAAATCATGTGTGGTGTTTTCGGTCTCAAAAACAAATGTACAACTTTAGGAGTTAAGCAGTACTTTGAATTAAGACAAAAGCAGACTGTAACTGCATGCAGAAAAGCTGCTTCTGCAGTGAACTTATTTTCTTGGTAGATATTAGTACATACCCATATTTATAAATATGTGGCTATTATGTCTTCTCTTATGGCTTTCTTTGCACACAATGTAAAATGACCACTGCTTATGGTCTTATCTTCATCTGGACTTTTTCATTGTTCTACATTGCTTCATAGCTTGTGTTTATTTCCTTTAACACCTTTGAAAATACACACTGAGTCAATGTGAGATTGTCCAAGAGCAAATAACAAAGAAGATTTGTTTCTAATCCTGAGAGATAGCCTGTACCAGCATGGAGTACTCGGACAGAAAATGAAACGTGGCCTTTTCTTACCTCTCTGCCAGGGTTTGCTGTTCATTGATTCCAACATTAAAGAGCACTGGATACATGCGAAGCAGCTTTCCTTCTTTAATCTCTTGTGGCAGCAGCTCAAACATCTTTGCTGGAAGCTGGACCTCTATAATGTAATGTTCACTAGGAAAAATGAAAACAAGAATAAGGATGGGGTTCATGATTGGTCTTCTTCAAATTATCTTCCTAAATTATAGAGAATGTGTAGACTTAAAAATCCTTCCCTTTTTCCCTTAATTGAACCATAAAAAGGGATGATTCAACTTGCTTGTTTTAAGAGCATAACCAAGCTATATGAAGGAAGGCAGGTATAACAGTATATAACTATAAACTAACTTCTTTACTGAAGTGAAAATAGGACTAAGGATGAAAGCAGCAAAAAAGTCCTCTGCTACCAAATTATCAATAAGAATACCTCAATTCTTACAATGCATCTTGCTGAGTTACAAAAACAACTTACTTCCAAAGTCACAACTTGATCTGGTATCCATTCTAAAAGTAATATGAGCAAAAATGTTTCATAAAAACCCAAAGTAAAACTCGCATTTTCTTCAATGGTTGGATTTTCTCCCTGGGGGTAGAAAGCATCACCAACAACAAAATGGTCTCTGTGAAGATAATGACTGAATGCTCATCACACAAGCGTGAATCCTGTTTTAGGAGAAGGGATATGATGTATAGCAGTTCTGGGCTTATATTTTTCTTCAGTCTGATGTCATGAAAAATGTACTACTTTGGCTGCCAAGTCAAATTCTGATCACATGGAAGCCCCAGGTTGGATTCCACCTGCCTTTGAGAACTGGTGCCTGAACCCACAACTGAAACAATGGGATAATGTTATCTTAGCTTTTATTAGCTTTCTTTTCATTGTTAGAGCAACCAATTGAAATTAACAAAAAAAGAACAGACTAGAAGAAAACCCATTTGTTTCCAGGATCTGGTATTTTAATCAGAGAGGGCTGACTGATGATGGAGGCCGAAATTTTCACTCCTGCAGAGAACATTTGAAATATGACACCAGCAACAAGGAGTGTTACAGCAACAGGACAGAAGGAAGATCTATCCTGCCTATGGAAGTCAGGCCAAGGAAGTCACTCGAGTTTTGTATGTAAATTTAAGATGGATAATCATGAAGTAAATAATCATTAAGTCCCTCCAACTCTCCATTCACATACTTGCTAAAGAATAAAAATGCCCTCTGGAGAATTTGGGTGAGAAAAAGACAAAACACCTTGAAGAAAAATGTCAGTTTCTGCAGTAGCTCTGACACCTTCAGCAAGCTTGAGGGATGATTGGCACCAGCTCAAGTGTTTGGAAAAACAGATTCCACTTGGAAGAGCCAGTGATGATGTTTAAACTTTATTCTGCTCATATATCTGAGAAGAAAGTAAAATGGATGCAGTGCAGACCTGTGACTGCAATGTAATTGCATTCAGCAAGGGCAGCAACATCTGCCTTAGTACAGGCTAAACTGGCATGCAATCTTTGAGCAAATGCCAGACGTTCCCATTGAGAGGGAATATCAGCCCTGAATGGAGAATATATGTCTCAGGGAGGAGGGATGAAAACTGAAATAGTTCTGCTTCCCAGGTAAGTTTGTGTTTTGTTCAATTAATCCACATGTGAAAGAAATAGAGAGTTAGCAAAAAGGAGAGTAAAGAATGTGGTTCCCATGACCTGTGCATAGCAGTATTAATTCTTAGCCTGCCTGAGAGCCCTCCTGGCTGCTGTCAAGTACTACCAGAACATTCCTGTGATGGAGTGCTTTGATGAGCTTGAGAAGAAAGTCTGGTTTAGTCTAATTCAAAGAGCATGTGCTACAGAACCAAACTGCCACCAAATCACTGCATTGTTACATTTAACTACTCCCAAAATCGCTACAAATCTCTGCATGTGAAAGAACACTGAGAAATAATGGTCTTTAGGCATGATAAATTAGTATCAGAACAATTTTGAGACTTCTTCCCTTGTCCTTTTTATTTTTCAAAACACTTTTTGAAGTCTCAGAGATAATCCTTGGTAACTTTAAAAAGTCTGTTACCAAGTGCACAATGAAAACAATGCGTTTCTGGTTGTGGAAAGAAAAGACCAGAAAGCTATGAAAGAGCTGTCTACAAAGTCCTGGAGTAGTACTGAAGTCAAGTGGAGGCAAAAAAAGCAACAAGTCAAAGTACTGGAAGACTGGAGGAAATCTGGAGGACTTGCTTGACATAAGTTTGCCAAAGATCTTACAGGTCTGTGATTATACTTAAAGAAAAAAAAAACCCAGTAAATTTTATTGTCATATGCTTTCTCTCTTTCATGGCTATATTCAGTGCAGAGCTATCAGGCAGGAGATGGATTAGGTGGGTACAACATTTTCCAACAAGATGGAAAAATCAGTACCTAATTTTTAACATTTCATGACCTTTCAGAAAAACAGAGTGGAGAAAGTAAGCCTGTGTTTTAAGACACTAAATAATATATCTTCATCTATTTAAGAAGAAACTGTATAAATTTAGGTCTTAAATATTTAAATGTATAAGATTTGCCTAAACAGGACTGCTTAAAAATATCCCTCTATAACTTTCTTTGCATTATTTATTCTCTAATATTTGTTATCATCACATATGAAGATAGACAAACACTTGTAATACTGGTAGAATGCTTCTAAAAGGTACCCTCCACATGGCTGGGGGTCATGGATCATGCAGCTGCTTTGAGTTGGCTGAAATTGCATACCTTGAACTCATTGCAGTAAACTCAAAACAAGTAATTTACATGGATGTTGCTTTGTAAAAGAAAAAAAAAATGCACACATGGTCAGTCACAGCAACTCAGCTTGGAGGTTCTTTACCCAGCTCTTCTTTCAGATGAATGCAATGTTTTAGATCACTTCAGTGTGGCTTTAAGTGCTAGTCCAGTCTTGGGCTTTGTTGATAACATGGTATAAGAGACTGTGATACCTCAAAGTTCATGTGCATAATCAGAGAATGGTTTGGGTTGGAAGGGACCTTAAAGATCATCTAAATGCAACTCCTCTGCCATGGGCAGGGATACCTTTCACTAGACCACGTTGGTCAGAGCCCCATTCAACCAGGTCATGAACACTTCCAGGGATGAGGCATCAACAACTTCATAGTGCAATCTGTTTCAGTCCCTCACCACCCTCAGAGCAAAGAATTTCCTCCTAACATCTGATCTGAACTTCCCCTCTTTTAGTTTGAATCCATTCCCCCTTGTCCTTGTAAAAAGTCCCTCTCCAGCTCTCTTGTAACCCCATTTGGTACTGGAAAATGCTGTAAGGTCTCCCCACAGTGTTGTCTTCTCCAAGTTGAACAGTCCCAAGTCTCTCAGCCTGTCTCCATGAGAAATGCTCCAGCCCTCTGATCATCTTTATTAAGCCCATCTTCATTAAGACCTTTAATTGGTCCACATCCTTTTTGTGTGGGGTCCCAGAGCAGCATGCAGTACTGCAGGTGGGGTCTCATGACAGTAGAATAGAGAGGGAAAGCCATCTCCCTTGACCTGCTAGTCACACTGTGATGCAGCTCAGGATACTGCTCTCTGAGTTGCATTCTAATACATGAACCCACCTAGCTGATCCAGGAAAGCCAACAGACAACAATTCTGGACTGCAGCAAAGCTTTTGAAACAGCCTGTCACAGCATGCTTGTGGACAAAATGTCCAGCAAACAGCTGGATAAGCGTGTTATGTGATAGGTGAGCAGCTGGCTTACGGGTCAGGAACAAAGGATTACAGGGAATGGGGTGACACAGCAATGGTGTCCAGTCACTAGTGGGGTTCTGCTGGCTCCCTCCTTGGCCCTGTGCTGCTCTTCAACATCTTTGTCAATGACATGGATGCAGGACTCAAAGGAATGCTAAGTAAGTTTGCTGATGATAGTAAACTGGGAGGAGATGTCAACTCCCTTGAGGTCACAGAAGCCCTCCAGAGACCTCAACAAATTAGAGAGATGGGCAATCATCAGTTGTGGACAGCTCAGCAGGTGAAGGGCCAGATTGTGCATCTGGGATGGGGCAGCCCTGGCTGCAGGGACAGAGTGGGGAACGAGAGGCTGGAGAGCAGCGCTGTGCCAAGGGCCCTGGGGGTGCTGCTCCATGCAAAGCTGGCTGTGAGTCAGCAGTGCCCTGGCAGCCGGGAGGGCAGCTGTGTCCTGGGGGCATCGGGCACAGCACGGCCAGCTGGGCAAGGGAGGGGATTGTCCTGCTCTGCTCCGCACCGGGGCGGCCTCACCCCGAGGGCTGGGGGCACTGTGGGGTGCCACGATGGAAACAAGGCATGGAGCCATTGGAGAGTGTCCAAAGGAGGCCACGAGGGTGGGGAAGGGCCTGGAGGGGAAGTTGTGTGAGGGGTGCCTGAGGTCACTTGGCCTGTTCAGCCCGGAGAGGAGGAGACTGAGGGGAGACCTCACTGCGGTTAAAACTTCATCAGGAGGGGAAGCAGCAGGGCAGGCTCTGATCTCTTCTCTCAAGTGAGCAGTGACAGGACTCAGCTCCAGAAGGAAACAGCCTGAAGCTGTGTCAGGGGAGGTTTAGGTTGGATGTCAGGAAAATTTGCTTCAGTCAGAGAATGGTTGAGCAGGTTGAACTGGCTCCCCTGGGAAGTGCCACAGCACCAAGCCTGACAGAGGTCAAGAAGCATCTGAACTCTCAGGCACAGGGTGTGATTCTCAGGAAACCCTGTGTAAGGCCAGGAGTTGGACTTGATTATGCATATGGGTCCCTTCTAACTCAAAATATTCCGTGATTCTCTAAAGAATGTTCAAAACGTGCATATTTTGGCCTCTAATAAAAGAATGTGAGTTCCTGAACAGAATTCCACCTCTCCTGGGTGGCTGGTGTCTACTACCCACACCAGAAAATCAGTGCACTGCTAGACAGTGCCACACACTTTGGATTGATTTGTTTGTGCACACAGAATATCAGGTTTAAGCACTTTCCTAGAAAAAACAATGACAAGTGAATATGCTGACTCTTCAATATAAGAATTTCTAGTTTGATTTTCTGTCTTGCATTTCTACAGTCTTTTACTCTCATTTATTGAGCCATACCATATAACAACTAAAATAAAAATGGAGGGTTTCTAAAAAAATATTAGAAAATAGCTAGATTTTCACCTTTTCATCTTTTATTTTTATGGTTGACCTCCAATGCTGTTTGATAGGAGCAGTCTCCTCACAGCTCTAAGAGGAATGGGACTCCTCCACATAAACCTTACAGATTTTATTTTCTTCTGATACCAATCCCATCCACTGAATATCTGCCAGCAAGTACAGTACAGCCATCACGGGCTGTGGCCCTTCTTCCTAAACACTGACTGCTCCATCAATCCAGAATGCCTGAGGCAGCTGAAAGCTCCAGTCTCCTTCAAATCCAGGGCCTCCTGCTGTGACAGGTGCCACAGTAATGGCAGCAAGCCAGCAAATGTAGATGTTGGATTTTTCAGGATTTTTGACTGCGGTGATTTACAAAGGATGTATTTCCTCTGTTTTATCCACACAGAATAATTATTCTTAATTATTCCCAATGTATTGCCTATCATACTCCAGCCTTCCTGTTATTTATTTCAATCCCTTCTCAGAAAGCCCATATGATGAGAGTGAATCATCCAGAATAATTAAGTAAATCAGTGGTGAAAGCCTCCTTGAGAGGAAACATATATTTTCTAAAAGTTGCTCCTTTTAGCTGAATTTAATTTACAGTCATCTTAAGAGCAATGATACTATTAAGGAAGTGATTTTTGCAAAATAAAAGTATTTGGAGCTTCAGACTAGAATAATAATAAAGATGAAAAATCCATTCCAATCTTGTTAACCCTCAAATAGCCAAAATTAATGGAGTTCTGCAGTTTATGTCCTGATATTCAGCAGTACTTATGTGAGATTTATAAACAATAAGTGATTTTGTGCAAGGATTTCTGAGACTGTGTATGTCCTGTGTGATTTTCAGCAGCTAAAAAAGGCTTCCATTTTTAAAAGTGACTACTAAATTTTTAATACTAAGTGGCATCTGAGTTTCTTGGTTTCCGTCTTAAAAACAATCAAGGCCTAACTCTTGGAATTGCAATTTCATTTCTCATTCTGAAATACAAATTCAGGACATGCAAAACCAAAGTTTCTCAGTTAGAGACCACATTCATAAATAATGGCCTTGTCACCTGTACAGGATTCAGTATCCATGTGTGAATAATGCACCAGCAGCTGTGCACAACACAGACATTGTTCAGATTAATTTGTATTAGTAACTGGAACTTGTAGCTTTTTATCAGGAGAGTAACCCAGAGCTTACTGGCTTTTAGAATCCCTACTACCTCACCTTCTAAAAAGTAAAACAATGCACTTTCAATAAAATAGAATTCAGCAACAAGAAAACCATTAGATGGGTTTCATGGGCTACAGATTAAAACTATAGCTTAATTTCCTGGGGTCCAAGAAACAAAGTTCTTACCGCCTTCCAGTTATAATAGGCAAAAAATCTTCTGACTTGGCTTCAATTACTTTAAACATTACTTTCTGCAAATCTGAAATGCCCACAGCCATGTCTTCTAGCATCCCTGCTTCTTCACCTACATGGAAAGATTAAAGAGACTATTAACAGAGTTGGCAGATGGGTCACTGTATAGGTTAGAGTAAAGCAATATATTTTCCAGTCTGTGCATCTAGAAACCACAGTTCTAAATCCACATTACAGTAACCTACATAAAACCAGACTAATTTCTTGAACTGCTGACAATTCTGTGGCCTAAATGGTAACCATGAGTATTAAGCAATTCTGAAAATCAGCCTGCTCTATATAGGCATAAAATAACCTCAGAAAAGCCATTTTTGTCTATTCTGAAAGTTTTTAAAAGGCTTTCCTGCTGGTGGAGGAGAAAGGTTTTGAGAATAAAAACAAGCATCATGCAAAATGGAGAAGACAGCTATCTCCAAATGAGCAAATGCATTAAAAAGCTGCACAAATGCTAAATTCCTCTACTTTAGTCAAAATCTCTGATTCAGGGAATGATTCCAGTAGATCTAGTTCAAAGTTTGAAACATAAGGCAATTTCTCCCTCCAAATTTCCCTTTTAATACATATCAATTAATGGCATCTGTAACAAACTATGAAACTGTTTTCAGGCTATCTTCACACTATCAGCACTGGTGATCAGGGCCGAGGCTGATAAAAGCAGTAAGTGTTTAAATCTTCTGTTTGGATTAGTTTTATCATCCTGGTATTTTGGGTCAGGTCTGCATGGAACAATTAGCAGGCCGTGTTCTCTGAGGCACTCAGAATGAAACAGATTAATAATTTTTGCTGCAAAATTAACAACACAGTATCAATAACTTCAGCTGTGCTATTTGATTCAACAAGCCAAATTAGTGGAAACAGAGCAGAGGTTAAAATAAGAGCTTCCTGGGTAACTTCTGGGCAGGGTACACAAGGAACTTTGTCCAAGAACAATACTTACTATATGTACTAAGGAGTCCTTCATACTGCACGAGCAATCCAACAGTATGAAGCTGTTGTAAAAATCCTTGATCATGTAAACCTGTGTGCAATTTGATTACAAAACCACAGACCAATCCAGCGAGCTGTAAAGATAATTAAAACACATGCAACTAAGAGTACTGTTACAAGACAAATAGTTCAAATGAGGCTTGCTGTCATTATACACAACAGAGGTAACACCTACATATTTGAGAAATCAGCATAGGTATTTCTGTTTAGTGACTATATACATGATTTCATAATAATGTGTTTTGATGGGTTTTTTTGGGGTGTATAAAGTAGTGAAATATTCTGTTAATTTATATTAGATAAGCCTAATTTGTTTTGTATCATTGTGTGCTATTTACACTGACATAAATAAGACCAGAACCTCACTTGTCAGGCTTCAAACATGTAAGACTGTAAATTATGATGTGAATTATGTGAATTTAACATGTGAATTATGATGGATTTGAAAGTGGTTCAACATCTAATGGAACTGAATCTCCTTGGCAGTTGCAACATACAACTTAAGAGAGAAATTAAGTGAAATATTTAGAAAAAGATCTATCTGGAAAAAACATGATATACAGGAGAAGATATAAAGAGCTTCAGTTATTTGCCAAGGGAAGACAGTTCTAAGGAAAGACATGCTAATAGTATTTAAACACTTAAAATACTGCTACAAACTGAAAACAAATAATCTCCTCTCTATTTCCAAGGTGACCAGGAGAAAAAAATCTCCCTAGCTTGGATGCTGCCTAGCCAGTACCCCGTGAGGCCACATCTAGAGTGCTGTGTTCAATTCTGGGCTCATTAGGACAAGAAAGACAAGGAGCTACTGGAGAGAGTCCAGAGAAGGAACACAAAGATGATTTGGGTCTGGAGCATCTCTCTTATGAGGAGAGACTGCAGGAGCTGGGCCTGTTCAGTCTGGAGAAGACTGAAGGGGATCTCATTAATGCACATAAATACCTCAAAGGTGAGCGCTAGGAGGAAGTGCCAGATTCTTTTCCATGGTCCCCAGCAACAGGATGAGGAGCAAAGGCCATAAACTAAAACCTAAGACATTCCACCTCAACATGAGGAAGAACTTCTTTACACTGAGGGTGGCAGAGCACTGGAACAGGCTGCCCAAGAAGAATTTGGAGTCCCCCTCTCTGAATACATTCCAGCCCCACCTGGGTGTGTCCCTGTGTCACTTGCTCTAGGTGACCCTGCCTTGGCAGGAGGGGTTGGAGTGGATGATGACCAGAGGTCCCTTAACCCTACCTATTCTGTGATTATGAATATCAGCAGGATATATTCAAAGCTAGACTTGAGAACTATATAATCTAGGAAGTCTAAAATAGATTTCTGGATATTTCTTTGTGCAAAGGCAGGATTAGGAAACTTTCCCAGTCCATTGGAGACCTGCTTCTCTGACTCGGTGATAGAAGTACCATGGATTTCTACCTACTATTTAGTTTCTTACCACATTATAAATTATTTAGGTGAATATCATGGAAAAGAAATGAAAAAGTTGTATCAAATTGTAAGGGAAAAAAAAAACCAACAAGAAAGAAAATCACAAACACTGGCATGAACAGTATGCTGGTAATTACAGCAAGAGAAGGAAGTAAGTGACACAAGACAACCTACTGCTTGGCTAAAGACGATGTCTCTTCTTAGGGTCAGCATCAAACACTGGGGCAAGCCACAGGCAAGTTCCTGGAGCAGGACAAAGGCCATGGATTGCTTGGCCCTGGTCACCACCTCTCCCATGCAGTCCTTCAGGGTAATCACCAGCGGGTACAGCTGTTCATACCAGTCACCTAGAACACAACAGGTCATCTGTTCCAAAGTGGAAAACGTGCAGTGAAAAACCCTTTTCCACTAGGAAGGATGGCAGCAGCAGCTGCATAGATCACCCTTCCCTTTAAAAGAACCCTTGCAGCTCTCCCCAGACCACTGTGGGACCACAAATGCCACTGGAGAACATACTTGTAAGTAGGATTTCATCTTACCACTGGGAATGGGGTTAAATCCCTGGCCTGAAGCCAACTGCACTCTGAAACAATGGCCTTTTCTAACAGTCCCAGCATCTCCGCAGAACTTATATTTAAGTGTCACAAACAGAGTATACAGGGAAACACATAAAACATCATTTAGCACACAAAGATTAATACAGTGGTGATGGAGTCTCCTTTCAGGACTTAAAACTGCCTATGTAAGAAATGGAATAGCATCAAAAATGCAAAACCAGAAAGAATAGCCAAATATTTAAGAAAAAGTGGGTGCTGGAGGGCAAAACACAATAACAAATAGGTATCTGGAAAGGTCTCACTTACTTAATCTACAGGCTGGAAATACAATAAGCTTCAGATCATATTCCTTTTTTTTTTAGCTTCTCTCTATGTTGTTCTCTTTAAATATTTAGAGATTTTGAACTCATTTTAGCTATTTCTATCAGAGAGATGTAGACTATTTTGAAACATGTTTTTCTCTGTAAAAACACATGCTAGGCATATTAAAAAACCCCTTGTAAAATGCTTGAAAAATGTGATTCCTTAATACATTACAAATGAAACAGTGATAAGTAGGAATGGAGGAGAATTGGAACACCTTACACAAACTTGCCCAATAATCCCAGCTACTCCTGAATTTTACAGGATTTAATAAAATCAGACCTGCCTTGTAGTTGCATATGGCTTTGCCTACCCCTAAGTTGAGCAAATAATAATAAAAAAAAAAACAAATAAATCCCCCTCCTTCAGAATCTACATCTCAGTTTCATTGTACGGTTTGAAATGAGGGAAATCAACACTCTGGAAGAATCAATATAAAAGTTGGGAATGCAACTGACAATGCAACAGTCTATAATTGGCTCATATTTTCTGTAGATTAGTGTAATTAAGAATCAATGATAATTAAAATCTGTTGTAATTAGGTGCAAGACAGCTGCATGTTGTTTCAGGTAACATTCTGAGTCAGGCCAGTAAAAACTCATTAGTACTGAGGAAGTTCTTTAGGCAGGAAGACAGTTGCCTGTTGCCAGTCAATTTGGCTGAGCTCCAGAAAAACACATCAATTAATAAAACTGTAGCCAAGAAGACTGGAGAGAACTTTGAAAGCTGGGAGGAAGTAAGGAGCAGGAAAGGGGAATAAGGACAGAGCAGACACAGAGAACAAGACGAGCTCTTTATTATCTTTGTGGTCAGACAACATGAGTTTTAACACAGTCATACATATTTAACCATGAGTAATACAGACTGAGGAAGCATTCCCTGGAAAAAAGCAGTTCTGAAGTGAGTGTCATCCTGACAAAACAGATCATAAGCCACCCCCAGGTATGAGCTCCAGGTGATTTTATACATGTCATTGATTAACAGAGTGATGACACACTGCGTGCCAAAGTCTGGTGTGCATGTTTTAGAGAGCCTGCTGGAAAAATGGAGAGCTTGCAGTTCAGAGCTACCAAGATTTAGAGTTTAATCTCCTTAAGCTGATGAAAAAGACTGAGCAGCAACTTGATTTCCCCTCTTCATGGGGAGAAAATAACAAGAACTAACTGTGGTGTTCATTCCAGGGAATAAAAGCAAAAGAACAACCAGAGGCTGCTGCAAAACACAGATGAGTTTAGAAATAAGGTAGACAAACAAGTAAAACGTACTGGAAGTCAGTGCAGACAGATCAGGCAATCTAAACTCTCAAGTCAAATTACAATCCTTCATTAATTTAAGCAATATACATATGCCAATAAAAGCAACAGCAGCAAAGCAAGCTCAAAATATGTAATGCTCAACGAAGCAATAAGCAGGGCTGTATGTGGTAAGACTACAGTTTGTGGGCTGCTTCTTACTTGAGCTAATAATGAAAAAGATTATACTTGGCCATTTCAAAGTAGACTTGAAGGTACAGCAAACAGACATCTGCTCCTTTTCCATGGGAAAGGAGAGCTGGATACAGACACAGCCAAGGATGTGGCACATACTCTGATAGCCAGGGCAGAAAAAGCAGAATTTCAAGAACTAACTACACTTCTTGAACCTGCTGTTACAATTTCAGGTTATGTGGATAGGGCTAAAGAGCATTTCTGACAGCCTTTTTCATCAAAGAAGAGCATGTGTACAAACAGGAGAAGGGGGAATGGATTCAAACTGAGAGAGTGTGGGATTAGACTGGATATTAGGACAAAATCCTTCCCAGAGAGGGTGATGAGGGGCTGGCACAGGCTGCCCAGAGCAGCTGTGGATGCCCCATCCCTGCAAGTGTTCAAGGCCAGGCTGGCTGGGGCTTTGAGCAGCCAGGTCTAGTGGAAGGTGTCCCTGCCCAACTGCTGCAGATGGGCTGGAATGAGATGCCCTTTAAGATCCCTTCCAACCCAGAGCATTCTTTAAATTTATGGATAGAGGGGGTCACATACTGGCCACAAATCACAGAATACTTAGTCCTGTTTTTACTGAGCTGCCAGTTAACCAGTCCACCTGCACTGTGGATTTCTGTTTCTTCAGGAATGTAACTTTGTATTTGTCCTTGAATGCAGGGTGACCTGCATCCTAGTATTTCAGTGCTTCATCAAGATCCATTCTAATCCTGCTCCCACAGTGCTTAAAGCCTCTCCCAGGTTTAAGCATCTGCAAATTTTATATGCATCATCCATATTTCATAAGGCAAGTCAGTAATAAAAATATTAAATAATACTGGACCCAGAACAAATCTAAGTGGACTCTTCTTCATGTAGCCTTCTAGGCTGGCAGTAAATAACTGATAACCACCTTCTATTATGATTTGCAAATATGCACATACCTTGTGGTAGCTTCAAGATAATTTTCTCACAACATTTTTTTGAGGGGAGACTACATGTTTGGAATACTAATACTCATACTATTAATTTACTAACACAAGCAGTTTTTGTCTGTAATAGTTGCATTTAAAAGGAATTAAAAGGATTTTTAATTCTCAAGGTAATTTTTTTAGTAAAGAACATTCATACTACATTTATTAAAAATAAATCCTACTGAGTACTTAATGTCCCAACGAATACAGAGCCTTATTTACATATGTATTTGGTTTTTTGGTAAACAATAAAAATTCTAAGTTTGCAGAAAGCCTTGCCCTAGTAACTGAGAAGATATGAATTATTAGAGAATATAGAGTTGCACATGTCACTAGTAAAGAGGACAACCTTTGTGTGATTAAGTTTTCCAAAACAATCTTCTGCTCCTTGCTCACACTGAAACTTCTCAATCTCAGTTAATAAGGATGCCCAGTCCCCAGAAGGTGGAGCTAGATGGCAAATCTGACAGGGATTGCACTGTTTCTTGAGAAAAAAGAATGCTCATGAATGGACAAGTATATCCTCATGCTTATACTTTATCTAAATCAAAACAAGAGGCCTATCAGAGACTGAGATCTTAGAAAAGCCAACTCTAGGAAGAAAAAAAAAAGGTGCCTAATTTTTGCTCTGTTAAATTTCACTGTGTCACTTGTTAAGCAGGATGTCCTGCTGCAAATACTCCAGCAGGAATATGAATGAGGATCATTCATTAACAATGAACAATAGTCCAAAAATCCAGCAGGAACACCTACTTATATCTAAGTACTGCAGTTTGTAAGTTGTTCCTTGAAACTAAGAAGGACTGTGAAACTGAAGTTTATGAAACAAACAAACAAACAAACAATTATATTTTGAAGCGTACAAGTAAATTCACTAGATTATGGAATAAGAGATTGTCTTGTATGCAAGGCATAAATATATAATCCTAATGCAACTCATAAATAGACATTATTTGTAAAGGGAGCTGACATGTCTAAAGTAGAGTTCTCTTAGAGTGACTCTGTAGAATCAGTTTGTATACATTTTAGAATATGATATCTTTCAGAATACCTTTGTAGAATCACTTCAGGGAAGGAATAATACAAATTATTGCTTTCAACACATGCATGGACTCACACACTGAGTCTTCAAATCTCAACTTTCTTTTAAATCAAAATCACAGTGGAAAATTGTTTGAAAAAGGGTGAAGAATTAACTGAATGAGTGACCATGTGAAAAAAAGAGATTAGGAGCAAGAACAGAAGCAACAAGGAGACTCCAGGATGACTGTCAGGTTGCTAAAATGACATGGGCAGCCTGTCAGTTTGGAACACTTAGCATCCAGAAGAACTGTCAGAGTCTCCTGATAAAGCAAAGAAACTCAGTACAAAAATAGAGCTAGTCAGCCACTGGAAACTAAAACAGGGCATAAAACCCAAACATATTAAAGAGTGAAAGGATGAAACTAAAAGGACAGTACCACCGCTATGCAGTGAGAATGAGATTAAAACAAAAGTGCATGTTCCACAAAGCAAGAACTGACTACACTGAGTAAATATTCCATGTCCATTGCCAAGAGAGGGGGGGCAGCTCAGTCTGTGACAGGATTTGCCCTTTGGTTACTGGAAAATGCCCTTCAGTCCCATGTTCCTGTAATCAACAGGCCTGCACAGGCAAATGACCTGCTTAGCACCCAGCTAGTCAGTTCTGTATGCTCATATCCAAGTTGCAATATGTCAAACCACATGTTAAATTTGATAAAGTCTGGCAGAAAAGCAAGCTTCTGGTCTTTTCAAAGTCAGGCCCACTGAAATGCTTATTAAAATATGCTGGTAACCAAAAATGATGCTTCAGCATAGTACTCCTATCTCCTTTAGCCCTAGCAACAGATTAAAAAAGCCAATTTTGTCACTGCTCTTTGTGCCACCTAAAATCCATAAATGGCTTTAAGTCACTTCAAAACTTAAATGGTATGAAGTTAAAAAACCAAACCTTAAATAAAAAGCGGAAGAATGC